CAGGACCCAGAGGCTCCCAGAGGCTGTCCCCAGGGAAAGGCATACTCACCACTCACTGTCCCAGGACCAGTGTGGTGAAGGGGGCTCATGAGGCAGAGCCCTGTCCTTGTCCGTATTTAAGCAGTGGCACAGAGGGGCGATGGGGGAGGCTGCAGTGGGCATTAGCCAAGGTCACCCTGGTTATCAGAGAAGCAAACAGACAGGGACTAAGTCCATCGGCCAGTTCCCCAGCTGCCACCCACGCTACCATGGGTGCTGCCTAAGGGGTGCACAGCCTCTGCAGTGTGACCACCTCTTGGCCACAGTGCCATGAAACATGTCTCTCAGGCTCCTGAAGCAGAGAAGGGAGGTGACAGCCCAGACCAGGTGGAATGGGGGCCCATGGGTTCGACTGGGGAAGGATCAACTTTAGAGTCCCACAAATCCTCAGGAGATCCTGAGCCTCGTCGTTAATCTTACATCTGTTCCCAGTGTCCACCTAAAGACCGAACGGACACTCTTAGGAAACAATGAGTGTCCTGCAGTGCACGGGGCCTTGGAAAGGGGAACCGCCTTTCCTGGGGGCCACAGGAGCCTTGAGGCCCAGGACTTCAGGAGGACACAGAGGCTGTCAGATCCAGAGAAGGTTGTCTAAGGTCACGGCAGGGTCAGCAGCCGTGGTCACAGAGCCAGGGAAGAGCTCCAGTGCCCAGGACCCTGTCCCTGTTGACCCATGAAGTGAGATGTGCTTTGGAAAATATCTTGTGAAATTTCCAGTTGTCACTCAAATAAGGATTGAGAGCCTTGGGGCCTTCCTTGATTTGGTTCACACTTGTAAACCACACTTAGACACACACATGTGGAGACACACACAGGAACACGTAGACACACGACCCCAAAATCTGTCCTGTCTTACGAGCCCACACAAGCACCACGGGAGGCCACAGCTAATGGACTTCCGAGGCTGGGGCTGGACTGGAGAAGCCAGCCATGACCTGGGGAAGGGGTGCTCTGCACAGGGGGAAGAGGGAGATTCTCTCCTCATGTTGGTAGGGAGGGCTGCAAGGCTCAGGAGGGTGACTTGTCCTTCTTCCTGCAAGACCACAGCATCCAGCCTGCTTTCAGGCCCGGGTCAGTCCCTCCCTCAGAACTGACCCCAGTCTGCCCCTCCCAGCAGTCCCTGAGCTCCTGACCCTCTGTGTCTCTCTCTGAGCCCCAGGTTCCCACACATGAAGAAAGGA